AAATTCCTCTTCTAGGTGGGATGCCCTGCACCATGTTTCCTTTGTAGGATGTCATGCCTCAAGTTTTCCTCACCTAGAAGGGATGTCCGGCAGACTTGTAGGATACTATGTTCAAGTATGCACCGAGCAAGTGACCTTTATGGTCTATCAAGGGGAGTAGTCTAAGGTCACGGAGGAACAAGAAGAGAGTAAGTTACCTTAGCCACGAATCAAGAACCTCCTAAGACCTCCCACGGTACAGCATGCTCATGACTTAGACTACGCTGCTTGGAACGCATGAAGCCTTGAGCGTAGGTTAAGCAGACTGTATTATAGGGCAAGCCCTTGATGCAGTATTAAGACTACATCGCTTGGAATGTAAGAAGCCTTGGATGTAGTTTTCAGACTATGCCGCTTGGAAAGCATGAAGCCTTGGGCATAGGTTAAGCATACTGTATTATGGGGCAAGCCCTTGATACAGTATTAAGACTACATTGCTTGGAACGTAAGAAGCCTTGGATGTGTTGGGTTTTATGTCCTAAAACTCATAGTTTGTAAACAAAAACATATTCTATTTTCAATAAAGTTATTATGGTTGTTTATTCAGTAAGATTGTTATTGAATAAAGTGAACTTTTTGATTATTAATCTAAATCCAATAAACTAAGAGCACTCTGACTATAGTATGATTACTTGAACTATATGTAGAGACATAAAAGTAGATCAAGTTCAAGTATATAGTCAAAATGATCTATAGTACAGGGATAAGGCTGAGTACCTTATCTTGGGGACACTATGGATGTGGCTCACTTTTGTAAATGACATAAACAATGTGATCACTAAATTGTACATGCGGAGACATGTGAGTGAGCGTCCTATGCAATGAGTATTGCATAAGATCGAACCATGAAAAAAATCACTCTCACTTTATAATGTCGCTTACTGCTGAGACTGATTTTCTTTTCATTCGATGACCTAGGTAACTCGATCTTAATCTTGAGCTAACCATGAACTCCTGTTTATTCGGAATTATCCTTACATTTGCATGGGTGAGAGTGACTCAAGTTCGTCGACTCAATAGGCCTCCCATTTCAGAGGTAAGACTGGGTAAATGACTGGGGACGTGGGGTGCAAAATGGAATTCACTCCTACCCACTTTTATGGATAGAAGAGAGGTAGTTCCCTTAAGTACTGACTCTAGGCCTTGAACAAGGGGCCTCACCCTCTCATTGGCCTGAGAGGGATTCGGTTTACTGGTTGGACCACAAACCAATTGTTCATTAGAGGATCAGTGAGACATAAGGAACAAGAAGTAACTTCAGGGGTAAAATGGTGAATTGACCCAGCTCTAGTTACGAACAACCTGTGAAGGATTGACTTACTAATCATGGTTATATCAAATGGACAGAAATATATCTATAGTGAGGGAGTGCAACTACTAGGCTATAGTGGAATGTCCTAGTAGTTAACGAATGTTGGTTAACAATGTTAATGAGTTTAACCGGTTAATCTTGGATTGTTGGAGCCTATGATCTATAGGTCCATTAGGTCCCTCTACTAGCTCATATCGGACTAAACCATAGAACAGTGTGACGAGTGAGTTCAAAGTGTTCGAATTCAAATTAGGGAGAATGCGCTACATATATACGATATATTTAACTGCATTTTTGTTTTATTTACGAATTAAACAAAAAGAGAAAATCTGAGATATTTAAATAAGATTTAAATATCTTAATCAAATGTGTCGGAATTAATTGGGATTGGCATTTGAATTAATATTAAATATTAATTAAATAGTTTAATTAATCATTTAATATTACTTTAATTTGAAATTAATAATTTAAATTGATTGTTGAATCAAAATGAAGAAAGTCAAAATTTGTTTTAACTAAACTTGCATGCTTGCCAAATAAACCCCACAAATCAAATTTGAGTGGAATTTTGAGTGTCAAAATTTGGTTAACTTAAGCTTGCATGCTTGCCACATAATCCCAAACTTTTGAGTGTCAAAATTTGGTGATCTCAAATTTGAACATTCAAACATGACTCTATAAGTAGAGTGATCATGGTACATGAAAGGTCTTCTTCTTGGTGAAAAACCTTGAGAAAAACCTCTCACAAACACTCTCTTCGTATATACAAAATCCTTCCCAAGTTTAGTCACTCACCGGATTCCACAATCCCGTTCTAAGGCTGGAGGATAGTGGAGAAGACACTAGTGGTTGTTCGAAACCGGTTCGTGAGGAAAAAGGAATTTGAACTACAAAAGGTTAGTATTCAAACTCATTAAGTTTTAATACTTATGAACATGCTAGCTAATTCATTATAATTGATGTACTTAGAGTGCCTAAGATCCAAATTGCTTTCGCATGTGTTATATTAACACCATCAGGATGTAGGTTTTCAGACTATGCCGCTTGGAATGCATGAAGCCTTGGGCATAGGATTAAGCAGACCGTATCGAAGGGCAAGCCCTAAGATGCGGTAAGACTACGTCACTTGGAACGCATGAAGCCTTGGACGTAGATTAAGGCAGTGTTGCTTGGAATGCATGAAGCCTTGGACACAGGATTGTCAGGTGCATGTCTAGTGCCGTAAATTCTAGGGGGAGTGTCTTGGAGAAAAAATTAAGAACAAAACAAGAACCAAGGAAGTACCAAGAACAAGAGAAAGATCAAGGAATAGAACAAGGATCAAGATCCTAGTTCTAAGGACAAAAACCAGGAACAAAGAACCAAAAACCATAGTAATAAGGCCCTTAAAGGAAAACCAAGGTTTTAGGATTCAAGAACCAAGGTCCTCAAAAAAAAGATCAAGATAAGAACCTAAGTCAAGAACAAGAATTAGAGGGCCTAAGTACTTATAACAAGAACAAGATCAAGAACAAGCAAGAACAAAGAATGTGGTACCCTAGCATATCAAGGACACGATTAAGAGCCTACAAGTAGGCTACATACTGAGTCTTGTACTCATTCCTTATTCTCCATTTTTTTTCCAAGTGATAAGGAGCTGGTGGAGGTCGGGAGCGGACTCTGGAGCAGGTGCCATAGACTAACCTCACTCGTCGTCCTCAAACCTTTGTTTTAAAATGTTTTGCGTCTATTCCTTATTATGTATTTTAACTATTATGTTGTATTTTAAATGACTAATGTGCGCACACTATTTTGATATAATGTAAATTATGTTTTAAATTTTAATGGTTTTATCGAGAAGGAAAAATTTACCCACCTTTTAGAGTCATCGTGTCAGCACGGTCCTTACAATAACTCACTTGAAAAAGAAAATGGTGAGTATAAAATTACTCAGTAAGCAGCCTACGTGTAAGCTCTCATCGCATCCTAATTCGAGTAAGTTACTACAAAGTTTTTCTCTGGACTCTAGGAAGTTTGGGCCTAGTTAGGTATCTGAACTTCTAGGAAGGTATAAATGTTTCAAGTAGCTCTCATGTCCGCACTTGGTCTAGAGGAGGTTCAGCCTTTCTAGCGCCATGGGGATCTACCAGGCGACAAATCTCATCTATGGGGTAAACTATTTTTTTGTTCTTGGACTTAGTCAACTTTCATAGCAAAAATAGTGAATGATAGGTATCCTCGATCGTGGTGGTACCTCACAATCTAATAGGACAATATGACATCTAGTTGGTTTGAATATCATCCATGGAAGGTTAGCTGGTAACCCTTCCATAAGGCCATAGAGTCACTCTGAATCTCGGGAAGCAACCCCTATGTGTCGGTCAACTACTAGGTTATCCATGTGGTCCCACACTCCCTCTTATGACAAGTTTATAACATATAGGTTCTCTTCCAGAGACTCTTGGCCATTTTCACCATACTAGGCATGACTCAACGGTACCTGCATTCCTACTGCTTGGCAAGGGCGCTCTTAGCGCTAAGGGCGTATAGGAGGAAATAGAAGGCACATACTCTGGTGAAACCATTACATTGCTATTAAGCTTGTTAAGCTTTCTTAGTCATCCTTGTCGTGGAGATTTACTAGGTTCTTAAGGGCTAAATCTCATCTTACATTTTCAGGACGTTCAAGACTAGCTCTGTGGAGTTAATCTAATCTCTGAGTGCACTAAATCTAGCCCTCTGATCACCACTCACAATCCTAAAGTGCTTAGTCTAATGAAACGTACTAACCTAGGACAAAGTGTAAATCGCTCTAGCTCTAGCGCCCTAATCTTTACTTAATCCATTCATGCATGCTTTGTTAGGGAGATACTCCTATCGACCACATAAAGCAAAAAATATATATTTTAGACATCACATTGGTCATCCTCGGGTGTCGATGAGGTCTACTGGGTTCCTAGAGCAGCTAGGTGGCTTACCGCAAACTTTCGACTCTAGGATATTCTATTTTGACTCCTCGAGTCTTTCTTATTTTTTTACCACTAGGGTCTAGACCTCTTGATTGCTGCTCACGATAAGGTGCTCAATCTAGTGTGTCTTGACCTAATTCATCGCCTAGCCAACATAACTCTAACACCCTAGTCTTATCTTTGTACAAATAACAAGTTCTTTAGGGAGAACACGCAATGAATCACCTAGAGACAAATAAACTATATCATGCAATCATACAAGCTCAACGGGAAAACAATATCTATCAATCACCCGAAGCACAGATCACAATATCACATCCTCCATTCTACACAATATCACATCCTCCCGTCTAGTACAGTCAAAAGTAATAAAAATTGACATGCATCATAATATCTCATCCTAGAGGCACTTTAGTAATTTTTTATAACATACATTGCATTTTCATCCCAAAATGTCCTTCTAAGATCCTAAACGGTCATAATCTAACCACATAAGGTAAGATATACTAACATGCTAGCATGTCCTAACCATTCGGACAATATCTTTCATTCTAGTTTAACTCAAAATAACTTCAGAAACATTAGGTTCTTAACTCAAACTCCAAATTGTGGATGAACTCAAAACAAGTAATGATTTCTATTGTTCGTATATTTACTCTCACTTTAGGGTTTGGGCTTGATTTGTGTCTATTTTTTGAAAGGTACCTTTTGTGGATACCCCATTACACATCTCAGCATCAGCAGGACATGTCCCTTTTTCTTTGGAGATCATGAGGTTGAAACCATCCTTAGCCAAGAAGCTTAACCCAGAAGGCTATAGCCCTATCCACTTGGCATTGCAAAATAACCAAACAAAAACTGTGTTGCGGCTCGTCGATATCGATCGAGATCTCGTATGCATACAAGGGAGAGAGGGCTTAACTCCATTGCACATTGCAGCCTCGGGAGGCATGGATGATATATTGGCCAAGTTTCTAACTTCATGCCCAAAATCTATTAAACAATTGACCAATCGTAATGAGTCTGCTCTACATATTGTTGTTAAAAGTGAAGATATTGAATCGGTTAAAATCTTGCTACAATGGATCCAACAAACATGCATGACCTCAATACTTAATTGGTGTGATGACGAAGGAAACAATGCCATGCATCTTGTGGCGCTCGGAAATCAAATTGAGGTCAGTATCAAAAAATTTTAAATATAGCATAGCTTAATGGATTAATATATTATATTTATTATTAAAAGGTAGGACTTGCAATAATCTCATAGGATGATCATCTAACTTGTTGGGATAATCAAAATTCAAAAGAAACCTATTTAATTTTTAGTTTTTGATTTTTTTATAAACTCAACTCCAATATAAAAAAAAAATATATATATATATATATTTTATGATTTAATAAGTTTAAATTTTTGTGGGATCTGGGTTAGAGAGGGGAAGCCAAACATTCCCTGTAAGGATGTAAAAATCTCTCTCTTGTATTTTAAAATAGTGAGGTTGATAGTATATAACGGGTCAAAGCAGACAAAATCTTCTACCGAAAAGCAGACAATATCTTCTATAAAAGTTGACATGTAACAAATGTTTTAACATACTAAGAAAAGCTTGTCTTTGGTGCAGATGGTGAAGCTTCTCATAAACAAAGTGGATATGAAAGCAAAGAATTTGGAAGGCAAGACAGCACTAGACATAATGAAAGAACATGGCCTTGTTGAAGACAAAGAGGTAAAAGAGATGCTCCATGGTTCCCACATTCTCAGAGATGTTGCAAAATTTGTGTGTTCAATATTATTGTTTGTGAAGAGATTAGTGATTACGGACCATCATGAGATCCTTTACATGTCTAAAAAGGATCGGAATGCCATATTAGTAGTTTCTGTGCTCATTGCCACTGCAACTTACCAAGCAGCTCTAAGTCCACCCATAAGTCCACCTAGAAAAGAAATGGGTTTCTTCCCTCTGGGGTGGATCTCATACGAATGCTTCCAACAGTTAAATACAGTTGCATTCGTTGCTTCAATGATAGAGATTTGTGTTCATCTTCCTTCTGGGATTGGCTACGCTCTCCATTTGGTTCTTCCTTTGGTCATTTGCTATGCATTATTGGCGATCGTTTCGAGGTCGTACTTTTCTTTAGTTATCACAAGTGCAGTCATTTTTTTGCTTATTTTGTCCAAAATTCCCTTGGTTAGACAGAAGGTGAAAGGAGGTTTTAAGCCAAAGAATCCTAACAAACTTGGTGGTCGCTTCAGCTTCAGCATGGAGAAAGAATTGACAGACATAAGTGTGCACTTTGGTCCCAGTGGTTAGAGCTTAATTATTTTCGTGATATTTGTTTTTGAATTCCACTAGTAATACTTTAAAGCGCTATGTTTGCAATTGAATATGGATTTTCCTCATGTTGAAGAGATTGGATAAGAAAAATATGTTGAGGGTGTTGTTTCATTTTGTAGTACTCAAAATGTTGTGGTTAATGACCTTAAGCATTTAAATTAGGTGTAACCTTCAAGTAGCTTATTTTGTTTGTGTATATTCTGCAGTGTGATTGGTTTTCTTCAAGCCTTTTGATACATATAGTATCATGTCACAATCTTCTCACATGGAGATTGTGTTGGCTAAATGGAGTGGTTGTTGGGTTATAGAGTCTTCTGTTATTTATAGTGAAATACATATATATATGGTAGTAAAGCTATATATAGTGGACATATAAATGGTAAACCAAATTGTCATAAATAATAAATAGTTATGTCCATATATATCTGGTAAAGTTATATATAGTATATGGTTATATCTGGTAAAGTTATATATAGTAAATCGAACCATATATATACGGCTTTGAAAATGTACTTTCTACATTTTCTCTATCTTCTCCTACGGTACATACATGAAGTCATCAATATAAACTTTTAACCAATATTCTTGTCACGACCCGACTTTCGAGGCTTTGAAAGACCAAATCGTGACTAAAAAGACGAATTCGAAAACAAATAAAAATAAATAGAAGGTAAAAATCCGGTAAAATCTAAAACAAGAAAAGGAAATTAAGGACACTTAAATTAAATATAAAATCAAAGTCAAATGTTACAAATAGGAATTACAAATACAAAAGACTCTAAAAGACCGACAAGGGACTGACGCTCTAGAACGACACTCCTCTGTGACAGTGCAACTCTCGAGCACCCCCCCTGTATCGACTGGTACCTAAACAAAAAAAAGAGAAAGGGGTGAGTATAAAAATATACTCAGTAAGCAACCAACTTGTAGGCTCTTTTCGCATCCTTGTCTTAGTAGGTATCCACGGTCTTATCTCTAGGTTCTAGTGAGTGCGAATCACGCTACAACTCTCTTTTCTGTATCTTAGGAGGCTTGCCCATCTTATCCAATGGAATGATCAGTGTCCTGAGGTGAGACGCGACCTCATAAGTAAGTCTGAGGGGATCGTATGGCTGGATCTGAATGCGTAACTCTCTCTGAACATCATCCATGGAGGTTAGCTGACAGCCCTCACACGGGACCATACATCCACTAAAATCAGAGGTTGCGATCCCCTGTGTGCCGGTCAGCTACTAGGTCATCCTAGTGGTTCCACGTCTCCCGCTCAGGGACGAGTTTCTACGGTCCAGGAGTCTTGTTCAGAAGACCCCTTAGCTATCACCACTAGTTCTGGGCACCTGTCACACTTTCCTGTCCGAATCTGTCAAGCTCAACGATCTCCGTACCGGAGCTCTGTCTCGACGGTACGATATTAGAGCAGAGAGGGAAGTGGAGGTTCTAATGACACTATCTACACTGCTCAACTTTAGCGGGCTACCTACTGTTACCGTGGTGTCCTACTATTCTTTCTAGGTTGGAACTTGGTAGCTTAGACTTGGATTCATGCATCTCTAGGATTCTCATGCAAGGTTTCACAAACCTATCGGGTTTGGAATTTTGGGCTCTGGATCCACTGGTAATCGTTTTGCGCGTCTAAATACACGGTATTCTAGAGGTTCCCCAATCTAGGGTCTCGTCTAGCCTACTTAGTCACAAGCACCCTAATCTAAGCTCACAATTTCTACCTATTCGTCAAGAAAGATAACACAAGCAATCACCATGCATAGGAGTTGACACGCAACAGTTCACGCAATATTAACAAACAAGCTTAATGGGAAGATAACGTCCATCTTCACCTAGAGCACAGATTTTACAAGTTTCCCATCCTCCTCATGCATACATACATTATCAGAATATCAATCTAAACAGATTACATAATCATTCATGGAGTTAACACGCAGCAGTTTATGCAATATTAACAAACATGCTCAACGGGAAGATAATGTCCATCTTCACCCGGAGTGCAGATTTCACAAGTTTTCCATCCTCCTCATGCATACATACGTTATCAGAATCTCAATCTAAACAGATTACATTATCATTCATATCTAGAAGCCATAGATTTCCTTATTTATTTTATTTTCATGGTTTTCATACTATATGCTAGGTTCAGCTAGCTAAGGTTATGGGTATGATAGCATGCATGCTTATTCCAAGCGGTTCCTACAAGTACTGCTCGTGGGAATCCAAATGGCTACTTACTTGGTTGACGCTGTTGGGTTTTATGTCCTAAAACTCATAGTTTGTAAACAAAAACATATTTATTTTCAATAAAGTTATTATTGTTGATTATTTAGTAAAGATTGTTATTGAATAAAGTGAACTTTACGATCATTAATCTAAATCCAATAAACTAAGAACACTCTGGCTATAGTATGATTACTTGAACTATATGTAGAGACATAAGAGTTGATCAAGTTCAAGTATATAGTCAAAATGATCTAAAGTATAAGGATAAGGCTGAGTACTTTATTCTGGGTACACTATGAATGCGGCTCACTTTTGTATATGATATAAACAATGTGATCACTAAAATTGTACTAGAGTAGAAGGGATAGTAGACCCGAGAGCTGCTAGTATTATTGTGGAGATATGTGAGTGGGGGTGTCCTATGCAATGAGTATTGTATAAGATCGAACCATGAAGAAAATCACTATCACTTTATAATGTTGTTTACTGTTGAGAATGATTTTCTTTTCATTCGATGACCTAGGTAACTCGATCTTAATCCTGAGCTAACCATGAACTCCTGTTTATTCGGAATTATCCTTAGATTTGCATGGGTAAGAGTGGCTCAAGTTTGCCGACTCAATTGGCCTCCCATTTCAGGGGTAACACTGGGTAAATGGCTGGGGACGTGGGGTGCAAAATGGAATTCACTCCTACCCACTTTTAGGGATAGAAGAAAGGTTATTCCCTTAAGTACTGACTCCAGGTCTTGAACAAGGGGCCCCACCCTCTCATTGGCCTGAAAGGGATTCGGTTTACTAGTTGGACCACAAACCAATTGTTCATTAGAGGATCAGTGAGACATAAGAAACAAGAAGTAACTTCAGGGGTAAAACGGTAAATTGACCCAGCTTTAGTTACGAACAACCTGTGAAGGATCGACTTACTAATCATGGTTACATCAAATGGACAGAAATATATCTATAGTGAGGGGAGTGCCACTACTAGGCTATAGTGGAATGTCCTAGTAGTTAACGAATGTTGGTTAACAAGGTTAATGAGTTTAACCGGTTAATCTTGGATCGGTTGAGCCCATGATCTATAGGTCCATTAGGTTCCTCTGCTAGCTCATATCGGACTAAACCATAGAATAGTGTGACAAGTGAGTTCAAAGTGTTCAAATTCAAATTAGGGAGAATGCACTACATATATACGATATATTTAACCGCATTTTTGTTTTATTTACAAATTAAACAAAAAGAGAGAATATGAGATATTTAAATAAGATTTAAATATCTTAATCAAATNATCTGTCAAGCTCAACGATCTCCGTACCGGAGCTCTGTCTCGACGGTACGATATTAGAGCAGAGAGGGAAGTGGAGGTTCTAATGACACTATCTACACTGCTCAACTTTAGCGGGCTACCTACTGTTACCGTGGTGTCCTACTATTCTTTCTAGGTTGGAACTTGGTAGCTTAGACTTGGATTCATGCATCTCTAGGATTCTCATGCAAGGTTTCACAAACCTATCGGGTTTGGAATTTTGGGCTCTGGATCCACTGGTAATCGTTTTGCGCGTCTAAATACACGGTATTCTAGAGGTTCCCCAATCTAGGGTCTCGTCTAGCCTACTTAGTCACAAGCACCCTAATCTAAGCTCACAATTTCTACCTATTCGTCAAGAAAGATAACACAAGCAATCACCATGCATAGGAGTTGACACGCAACAGTTCACGCAATATTAACAAACAAGCTTAATGGGAAGATAACGTCCATCTTCACCTAGAGCACAGATTTTACAAGTTTCCCATCCTCCTCATGCATACATACATTATCAGAATATCAATCTAAACAGATTACATAATCATTCATGGAGTTAACACGCAGCAGTTTATGCAATATTAACAAACATGCTCAACGGGAAGATAATGTCCATCTTCACCCGGAGTGCAGATTTCACAAGTTTTCCATCCTCCTCATGCATACATACGTTATCAGAATCTCAATCTAAACAGATTACATTATCATTCATATCTAGAAGCCATAGATTTCCTTATTTATTTTATTTTCATGGTTTTCATACTATATGCTAGGTTCAGCTAGCTAAGGTTATGGGTATGATAGCATGCATGCTTATTCCAAGCGGTTCCTACAAGTACTGCTCGTGGGAATCCAAATGGCTACTTACTTGGTTGACGCTGTTGGGTTTTATGTCCTAAAACTCATAGTTTGTAAACAAAAACATATTTATTTTCAATAAAGTTATTATTGTTGATTATTTAGTAAAGATTGTTATTGAATAAAGTGAACTTTACGATCATTAATCTAAATCCAATAAACTAAGAACACTCTGGCTATAGTATGATTACTTGAACTATATGTAGAGACATAAGAGTTGATCAAGTTCAAGTATATAGTCAAAATGATCTAAAGTATAAGGATAAGGCTGAGTACTTTATTCTGGGTACACTATGAATGCGGCTCACTTTTGTATATGATATAAACAATGTGATCACTAAAATTGTACTAGAGTAGAAGGGATAGTAGACCCGAGAGCTGCTAGTATTATTGTGGAGATATGTGAGTGGGGGTGTCCTATGCAATGAGTATTGTATAAGATCGAACCATGAAGAAAATCACTATCACTTTATAATGTTGTTTACTGTTGAGAATGATTTTCTTTTCATTCGATGACCTAGGTAACTCGATCTTAATCCTGAGCTAACCATGAACTCCTGTTTATTCGGAATTATCCTTAGATTTGCATGGGTAAGAGTGGCTCAAGTTTGCCGACTCAATTGGCCTCCCATTTCAGGGGTAACACTGGGTAAATGGCTGGGGACGTGGGGTGCAAAATGGAATTCACTCCTACCCACTTTTAGGGATAGAAGAAAGGTTATTCCCTTAAGTACTGACTCCAGGTCTTGAACAAGGGGCCCCACCCTCTCATTGGCCTGAAAGGGATTCGGTTTACTAGTTGGACCACAAACCAATTGTTCATTAGAGGATCAGTGAGACATAAGAAACAAGAAGTAACTTCAGGGGTAAAACGGTAAATTGACCCAGCTTTAGTTACGAACAACCTGTGAAGGATCGACTTACTAATCATGGTTACATCAAATGGACAGAAATATATCTATAGTGAGGGGAGTGCCACTACTAGGCTATAGTGGAATGTCCTAGTAGTTAACGAATGTTGGTTAACAAGGTTAATGAGTTTAACCGGTTAATCTTGGATCGGTTGAGCCCATGATCTATAGGTCCATTAGGTTCCTCTGCTAGCTCATATCGGACTAAACCATAGAATAGTGTGACAAGTGAGTTCAAAGTGTTCAAATTCAAATTAGGGAGAATGCACTACATATATACGATATATTTAACCGCATTTTTGTTTTATTTACAAATTAAACAAAAAGAGAGAATATGAGATATTTAAATAAGATTTAAATATCTTAATCAAATATGGGTCGGAATTAATTGGGATTGGCATTTGAATGAATATTAAATATTAATTAAATAGTTTAATTAATAATTTAATATTACTTTACTTTGAAAATAATAATTCAAATTGATTGTTGAATCAAAATGAAGAAAGTCAAAATGTTGACTTCATTTAATGGAAAAATCCACGTTAGTGGAATTTTGAGTTGTCAAAATTTGGTTTAGTCAAACATGCATGCTTGCCACATAAACCTTACAAGTTTGAGTGAATTTTGAGTGTCAAAAATTGGTTAACTCAAACATGCATGCTTGTCACATAATCCAAAACATTTGAGTAGAATTTTGAGTGTCAAAATTTGGTGATCTCAAATTTGCATATCCATGCAAACATAACTGTATAAATAGAGTGATCATGGTGCATTAAATGTCTTCTTGGTGGTGAAAGACCTTGAGAAAAACCTCTCCCAAACACTCTTTTCATATATACAAAATCTCTCCCAAGTTTAGTCACTCATCGAATACCACAATCCCATTCTAAGGTCGGAGGATAGTGGAGAAGACACTAGTGGTGGTTCAAACCGGTTCGTGAGGAAAAAGAAATTTGAACTACAAAAGGTTAGTATTCAAACTCATTAAGTTTTAATACTTATGAACATGCTAGTTATTTACTATAATTGATGTTCTAAAAATGCCTAAGATCCAAATTGCTTCTGTTATATTAAGACGCGTGCCTTCCCAAGCTCAAATTATTTGCTGAAAAAGGCGGCAAAAATTCTGGAATTTCCTTGATAGGTCCTAATTCACATAAAAATAGGATCAAAGTTGAAATCAAGGCGAAAAACAAGCAAACGGAGGCTAAACGGGTGAGAGAATGGGGTCCCACGCGCCGTGCACGCGCTAGTAGGTCCCCACACGCCCACACGTGCAGGGCACACGCGCGGGTAGTGCCATGTTTCGAACCCCAGCGGCCGTGGACTTACCTTCAAATTTTATGAGCACGACACGTGGCACACAGTTTTTGGCGGAAACGTCGAGTTGGACCGCAAGTTTTCGGACCGGTTCGGCGAGCGTACGGGTCGACCCGACTCAGCGCGCTAGTGGAACACTGCCATGTGATGGACACCGACTCTACCGCACTCCTCCGTTTGTCGGTCAACACATGGCGGTCTCTTTCTCTCTCCTGCGTGTGTTTCAAATTTCCAAATGTTAGCATTTTCGTGTTTTCGATCTATTTTCTTCCGATTTTCTTATCTTTCAATCCATGAAAATTGTAGATCTCATATTCTACTTCTACAATATATTTTTTCTTTATTTTTTTTTCTTGAACACAGAATGAGTTAAGGCCGTCCAAAGATACGGAAATACTCACATTTTCTGTTTTCGATTGGTTTACCTGAAGTCCAACTAAACTCCGATTTTCGTCCAAGAACTTCAAGAAACCTGTGTGAATCTTATTTTAGTTACATACGTCAAAAACTCCAGATCTAAAACTCAAGAAATTCCTCAGATCTAGATAAAATCGAAACAAGAAGTTCGGAACCTTACTTTGTCCGTTCTCGAATTTTCTTGCCGGAATAAATGATTCCACCACCCAAACTCCTTTTCGAGCACGAGAGAAGTATTGCTACGAAGTTTCTATCCTTGGATTCCCCAACTGCCGTTTGTCTCTTCCTCTCTCTCAAATCCTAACTTCTTCTCCTTTCTCCTTTCTCCTCTCTCTCTCCCTCTCTCTCTTTTCTTTTCTTTTCTTTTCTTTCTCTTTCTTTTCTGAGCCCAAACAACTAGACCCTTAGGCAAGAGTAGGAGCAAAATGACCCTTTTGCCCCCAATGTTATTATTTTTATTTTTTTATTTGTTTATCTAAAAATTCGGGTATTACAATTCTTGATTGTATTTTCTCTCTCATATTCTTTGAATTTTGGATTTAAGTACATCGTTTAATCTATCTCCAAGTATGGAATTGTTTCAAAATTTCAAATCATAAAATTTCGGAAAGGTGTATCTTGCTGACAGTAAAACGTTGGATTGAAGGGAAGGAAGATATCTTCATACAAACTCCATCAGGAAATCAATGGACATTAGAAGATGCCAAATATCTTCTTGGTCTCAACAAGAATTTGATCTCTATTGGTCAGTTGGATAACACAGGCTAAGCACTAGAGTTTGGAAAGAGTTGGTAAAAGATTGTGAAGGGTGTCATGCTTGTTGCACATGACACAAAATCTGGAACCTTATACACTGCTGCAGAGGGTATAAACATGGTTGTTGTGCTCAGAGTGCTTCCAATTCAAGTCTATGGTAGGATAGACTTGGACATATGAGCGTCAAAGAAATGAAGTTGCTGACTGCAAAATAAATTTTAGAAGGCCTAAAATCTATTAAGTTTAATAGGGGTCTTTGTGAGTGTTGTGTTATGGGACAACATAAATGAGTTAGCTTGACAAAGGTTGTCAAAAAATCGAAGAAAGTGCGGTTGGAAATGGTTCAAAAAGACGTTTGGGGACCATCTCCAGTTTCATCACTTGGTGGATCAAAGTTCTACATCACCTTTATAGATGATTTCAGCAGGAATGTATGGGTTTACTTCTTGAGACACAAGTCAGATGTGTTTGCCACCTTCAAGAAAATAACCACAAATTAGTTAAACTAAATATCTAAAAAATACTTCAACTATCCCAACAGAAACCATCTTTATTTATCCCTATTTTGACATACTCAAATTCTTCTAACAATCCCTCCCTTCAACTTATTATTCTTTGTCAAGAATTAGTTAAGTTAGAAAAACTCTGCCCCCTGTTGTCCACCCAACTTCTGAAATGCTTCTAATTCGAAAGACTTTGTCAACAAATCAGCAAGTTGATTTCGGGTACCACAAAATAATGAATTAATGGTTCCTTCTTTTGTAAAATCTCTAAGAAAGTGAAATCCTACTCGTATGTGTTTGGGATGTCCATGTAAAATTGATTTTTTAGATAGCTTAATAGTTGAAGTATTATCACACATTAGTTTTATTTCTTCTATTTGAGAGTGACCAATCTCTTTGAGTATCC